TAACGGTGTGCAAGTCACCCTCACGAATGAGGTATAGTCATGATTGTTGGCGGCACAGTCTTCTTCGTCTGGCGTTCATTACATTCTTGCTTCCAACATCTCCTGCTATCGTCTGAAGAAAGCAACTATGATCAGTTGCAACTGCCGGCTGGTATCAGCTGATTAGTATAAATAAGAAGCACATTACTATCAGCTGCGGGAAGTCACTCTCAATGACAAACTCGTTTTACACATGTCAACACAAGAAAAGGAAGTCAGCAAGATGGAGTACACTATTGTATGCTCCGGATTAGGAAGAAAGGAGTAAAAATAAAGCCGTTTGTAGGAATATCACACAGTACATAAATTTTTGGAACTGTATTGACTAGGTTGTTTTTTCTGCTTATCTTTGAAGAAATAAGTCACCGCTCATTCACCAAAAGAGATTATGCTTAGTACGGATGATCAGTGAGCACAAAGCTATGTATACCACTGCAGGACAGGATGCTGAATAACAATACAGGTAAGAGATTTCTGGTTGTCACTCCTCTTACAACATAATGTATGTTGAAGTTTTGAGTACTTTTTATTCTGCTGAAGTTCCAAATTTTCACTATGTAAAATATGTGGGTCACCAATTTCTTCGTGGAAGGTTCGCACGAAAATCAGCAGCTTCTGCGATTCTGTGAGAGCAACCAAAACGTCTATGAAGGATCGCTATAGCAAACCTCCCAAGGGAGTTTTGCTATTTTTTCGGGAATTACATGATAATCAGGCAAACACAGATGGTCCATGACCTTGGAGGAGCAAGTGGTATCGCAGAGGTTCGAGGACTTAGACAGATAATGATTCAAGTGGCGAGGGCGGCACCCAGCTGCAACCAACCTCAACAGGCAGATCGATCGCCGGACATCATCCAAAACGGTTGTCTGACATCAACCGGACCACCTCACCTCAGTTCATTATCGACTCATTATTGCTCTCTTCACACAGTCTCGCTATCATGTAGCTAAGTGCTATCATAAGGTTGAGTTCATACAACTGTCAGATGAACCAATAGATTGTGAGCGGAACATATCACTTAAGTGGCGGAGCAAAACTCACTTAGACTATGCTCGCCCCCCCACCGCGGTTAAGGGATTCTGCCCATATATAATCAGTAGCGACCCCTCTGCTAACACTATATTCTCACCCACTGGATCACGCGCCGGTGTTCTACTTGGGGGCGAAACATAGCAATCCCAAACGGGCTTCCGCCGCCTAGTTATTTGCTCGTAATAACAACATTCATTTTATCGCCACACGACGATACATCTCATCAATTACGTTCATTTAGTCAAATTATCATATTATCGTCACAAGACGACACCATCAACATTCACAGACATAACATATTGTTCACATAAGGGCATATGACGCAACCGTATATATACATTTTTCTTTATGTTATTAATTGGCAGTAATGTATGCATATTATAGTGTTGGGTAGCACACACCCTTGTTTTGGTATAACCCATATAAAAGGATTTAGAACATTTGTGCTCTTGTCGCGTTATATGAGATCAACTGGCATAAGACACGGTCACCGCAGACTTAAGTTCAGGCCCGTAGCAAACTTGGAAGTGTCCACGAGCCACTTCAAAGGGCAAAAAGCCGTCGCAACGCGGAAGTTCGACGAGTGCAGCACAAAGGTCAGTGCGCCGCTAAGGACAATCCTACAATATTCAGATATCGATCGGGTCACTGCCTGAGACAAATCCAAGGACCACACAGCAAAAACCACTGAACCTCCACCACAGATCGGCTTAGAAAGAAGCGTAGTCCAAGGACGCAGTGGAGTAGTTGGGTCCACTGTGGGATACCACATGCTCTTTGAAAAGAGGTACAGTTGTCTGAGAGCTTAAGCATATTCATTTCGAGTGCCATTTAGACTGGTCCAAGGAGACTTACAATATTCTAACTCCACGCTTCCGTTTACAAAGTATGACAGCGATTTAGAATGTCGACCTTGGGATGTATGACAGGAGTATACCAAAGTCATTTGATCTGAGCGTTTCGTCAACTAATACTAGCCAGACGACTCAGTCTTTTCCATCATTGTAGGTCGATTAATTTCCAGAGTCCCAAAAGGGAATGAAACAAATTTACATTGTCCTATTATGTCATTATTGTGGTTAAGAACTGTGTGAATTCACTGTGTTTACATTCAGTTTGCTCCATCTCACTTCCTACATTGCGCATTTTCAAAGTTGCCTACTTCAGTATCCGTTGTGCACGGATGCTGTTGAACTAGACAAAAACACCACGAATTTTCTTCAATCATCTGCTAAAGTCTTGAAGCCATTATTGAAGGTGCTCGTCGTAAACTCCAACCCTTTACAAATCAGGGTTTCTTAGAGCTCCAGATCAGATAAGACAGTATATTGACTTCGGAACACCAACATTCAATTCGACACCTGACATCAATTAACTATGAATATCTTAGCATCTGCTCGTGACTTCGGCTTCTTATCAAGCATTTTGACCCTTTATGCTTATCGCTGACTACAAACCGATTCGTTTTCCTAGAATTCTGAAAGAGCGATGATCGCTATGGCGTTGAAAGATTTTCACAGGCTGATGTCAGCTTCTGTAGAGTCTGCGGAATGAGCTGAGCTCGTGCTAGTCTGTTGTCAATTTTTTAGCCGAAAAGCATGAGTGGCTTGGTTAAGCCACGTGAGCGTTCTCCTTACTTGGAGAGATTTTTATTAAAGACTTTAGTGCAATATTTTTTATGATTAAAAATCATCGCTAACATGTGAACTTTAGTATGTAAGTGCCAATTAAACCGCTGCAAAGTTCAACACGCTAATTACTTGAAGTGTGAAACGTGATCTTCTATTCGTTGCTACAGCGTACGAAAAGATCATCTCAAGAAGAAAACAAAAGTGAACTGTTAGTTAGTCGCTTATCAAGCTATTGAATGACTACTAAAACTGCACTTAGAAGCGAAGCGTAAGCCATATCGAAGCATACGAAGCACTCAGAGTGATCGTAATAATAGTTTCGCTACTTCAGAGCAGTAAAATACTTTCTTTAGTAATCAAGTTCTAAATTATAGTCACCGTTTTTTGAGCTATCAAATGACTACTAAAACTTTAGCAACAAACTTTGTTTAGAGAAAAGCCAAGCAGAGCAAGGTTGTAAAATACACTAAACTCATCTAAGAAAAACGTAATTTTCTCTTCGCTGCTACAGTTCACTATTAAGCTATTTCGAAAAGCTAGCGCATTGAGACCACAATTGTTTCAACTCTCGAATGATCACTCAAACTCTAATTGAAACATTTGTGCCCGACGAGAAAACCACGAAAATGTGCATGCACCATTATTGGTACACGTGGTCCCGAAAGGGTCAGTGACGTTAGAAGTTGCAGTCATAGTTTGGTAGCTCTGCTGTGCTGCGTGTTAGTATTATCACGTAGAACGACATAGAACAAATGCTCTACAACTTGTATTGTGATACAAGCATAGCGGAAGTATTTCATTGAGTATGGGACATTAGAATGCACAAATATGATATCATTTCGCCGCCCCAGAAAGATGATAGGCTTGGTGGGCCATGTACGCGCCTTCAAAACATCGACCACGAGTGTGTCGCAAGGCACTTTTAACCACCGCGGTGCACGTGTCCAGCTGTCTCCTATTCGACATGATTTCATCAAAAATTGTCAAATCGTAGGCAATATCTGATGGCACCACTATCAAAAGCTTGCGCTTTCATCGCTTGTATAGAGTGGGTCAATATGTTGGCTCTTTTTCTTCAAGTAGTAAGGAGATATAAGCGTCCTCGTAGAGATGGTGGCTGTATAGAGAGCTTTCAAAAATGTAAATATTATAGGGCAGACTGTTAGTTCTACTATATGCCATACTACTCTCACACTTATCATGCTGCAAAGTTCGAAATCACTGATTCTTATCTTGAAATTTCATCGTGTCCGCAGCTTCTACTCGAGCAAGAGCAGCTCGTCTTCGAACTTTGCACAGACATATCTCTACTAGTATATCAGTTTGATTGCTGAAATAAAGTTCACTAAGACTTCAACTATTTTTTTAAGGCCACACCTTTATCAATTTAGGTAGACGAATCGTAATAATTTGGGTCATAATGTAAACGATGTCATACGAGTGGAGTAACACACAGTATTTCTAAGTGGTGTTCCGATTGGAAATGAAATTTTTGACTTTTAGTGATTCCTCTACATATTTCACTGTCATTCAACTTATTTAGGTGATGAATCGTGCAAAAGTAGCGATGCCGATCATCACGGACAGGGCAAATGGTCGATTTCGCTCTGAAATCTCTGAGCCACTCATCGTTCCAGGCTTGCCAAGGAGATAATACACTAGCCGGCAAAAGTTCACTCTCCGAAATCCAAATGAGAACGTTTTAACTCGGCTATGTCATAACTCCAAAAAGATTCGACTCAATCACTCTTGAGAAAAAAAAGCTTATGAAGAAGATTATCTCAACCTGCAGTCAAACCCTACGCGAGAAACTCGAAGGCTTCATGGATAATGGTCTCAATAAATAAATTAAATGCAAGAAGTGGTGATATTCTTGCTGAAGATGTAAAGAGAGGCCTTACAAATAGCTAAAATTGCCTGCTAAATATCTAAAATGTCTTGTGGCATGCTTCTTGCTTTGGGTGCGACAGCTCCAGGTGTCGATCACCGACGAGGCCAACGTCTTTGCAGTAGCTCTTTCGTAGACCATGCAACATTATAATTTGAACACACATGGGCCTCCACAAGTGTTTTTGTCGTTATGTGATTCTGAAATTTTACGTATTTTCATCGGCTGGGATATTAGTGGTTAAATTTTTGTTTTGTAGGTAAGACTCTATTGTTTGGATAATAAGAATGGCCCAGGCTTTCAGTATAAATTTTCTGCAGAGCCAATATAATTAGCGCTAAGTAAACGAGACTTTTCGTTGAAGAAAATTGTTGACTAATCTAAGGGTGGTCTAAAACATGAATCACGGCCAAGTGGTCTAGTGGTATGATTCTCGCTTTGGGTGCGAGAGGTCCACGGTTTTCGATCACCGGCTTGGCCCAACTTTTGAATCTATTTGTCTCGTTGAAATGTAACAGATCTCTAATTGAGTGAAGTGTACGATGTGATATTTCTTAAATTCTTATCTTTCAGTTACTTTACTCTAATCTAAATCATAAAACTTTTTATTTATTTCTTTTTATCTTACATTTCATTTTCAATTACTTATCTAAATTATTTCATACCCAATTTATCACATTACCATCAAACTTCTAAAATAAATCTTCAATATTTATCTCAATTTACAAACCTACATCTTTCATCTTCTCGTACCACTTATCTCTTTTCACTTCTCAAAGTCTTACAGACTCGCCCTCTCGGTGAGCAGACAGCAATCCACGATGAGTTGATGGTGCCTGCGACATTCTACTATAGACACACGCAAGACCATCACGTTTCTTCCCACGACCTGTCCTTCTCATTCACATCCCTCCATCTTCTCCCCGATACATTCAAACATATTGTCACTCCTATATTTTTTTTATTTTTAAACTTATTATTTTACCGCCCAAATACAGATGCATCGGTGGCTCTCTCCTAGTTTACGCTTACTCCTTTCACAACTATCTGTCTACTCTGTTACGTGATTCTTCCCAACTCTTTCTTATTCACACCCTATCTAACACGTAAAGCGGTGTGTCACGATAGTCATTCCTAGCTATTCATATTTTAACTCTTAAAAGCACCAACTCCTGGTCGCATCCTCACTCTCTCTTTTTCCCACCTGAATATTATATCAAAAACCCTCCATGCAGTTAATAAGTTATATCCAGCTGTCGGACATTCTTACATGATACACGTATCACGTCGAACCTGTACGCCGAATTCTCATTAAATTTGTGTTCAACTTTTAAGTCGCAAACGCTCGGTTGATAACTGTATCACCGACAGCTCGTGTATCCTCACAGTACAGGCACCATCTAGGAATCGTAGATGAGAGGCTTACGATGAGCTGTTAAAACGACAGTAGATATGCACGTAAGGTAGAGATACTAAGGAGATTTTAACTAACTAATTATACGATCGCATTCTTATAATAAAGTACATATGCATCCTGATTGATGCTTACTTAGAACGCAGATGTGTTCGTTGCTACACCCTCACTTTTGAGCGCTGTGCCTACGGCATATTGCAAACCATCCTTCTATAGTAGTCGTATTGTTCTAGTCTATGCACCCTACTATGTTGTATCTTCGTACACTCCCCATTCACGTCTACCGACGCTCTCTTCGTAGTCCCCAACCTTATGCACCTTTCGTGTGTAGTAGTTTATCCGCGTTATTGCACTATATAGTATGGAGGACCGCCCCACAGTTGTACCGTCTTGTCTGTATCTTTTTCACCCCTTACGACCGCTGTTCGCACATGAAAGTCTTAGTCTGTTAGATATATTGAGTCCTCTAGTATTGCACTGTCCTCCCAGCTCTCTCGTGTCACCGTCCATCCTGTATACTTCTCGTGCACACGTGTTGTTTTGCATAAGTCCCGTGTACTTTACTATGCACCCCTGTATCCCCCTACGCGTAGATGTCCATGCGGCTCGTTCCACGCCCTTTTCCACTAGTTACCATATGTTTGACACGTATTCGTTCATGCAACTCATCACCGTCTACCCCTGCTCGTACTCTCCCCAACCTGTCTTTTGTGCACACTTGTCGCCCTATCGTCGCTTACTCACACCCCCCTTTCGCTGAGCACTGACTATCCTGTTATAGTTTGCTCACTTCACGGTCTACTCTGTTTAGTCACTATGATGCCGGTTTTTTGTACGTTATGTCTTCCCGTTTGTCTTCCTCCACCGTTCTTTTCTCCTCTTCCCCTTCCCCTTGTCTTCTGCTCTGTCTACGCAGACAGCATGTTGCTCACATATGTCCTCCTATGGCTTACACACTGCATTTCTTCGCTCTTTATTGTCCTTATGCCGCCTCTGTTCTCCCCTTTTCTCTCTTTCCATGTTTTCCTCCTTCTGTCTCTTCTGTCGCTCTGCCCTCCAACGTCTTTGCTTCGTTATCTCGTGTTGTGTATATTGTTTCCCCCTTTCGCTGTCTGTTGATGCCTGCTACCTCCGCTCATTCACTCTTGCCTTCGCGTTTCTCCCTTCTTTTTTCCGTCCTATTCGTTTCTATTTGTCTTACCTTTGCGGGCTATCTTCTCATCCTCCCGTCCATTTATTCACTTTTATTCCTGATTGTGATTGTTATCTTTTATTTCTGTTACTTCTCTTTATCTTCGTCTGGCTTTTCCTGTCTTTGTCTTCTCCCTCCTTGCCTTCTCCACTGTCACCTTCTCTGATCCTGTTTCCTCTCAACATCCGACCTTGTGTTACCCACACCGTCTATTTTCCCCACATCTAGCCCTTTGCCCCACACGATCCCCTTTCTTCTCATCTCCTCTATTGTGACACCAGTCTTCACCTGCTCCACCTCCGCGCTAATTTAGACAATCATTTCATATGGCTCTGCGAATAGAGCTTGTCTATGTCTCAAGTGTCTTTGCATATGACCATAATGGTTTGCATTTCCTTGTGCACTGTCTATTTAGCACTAACTGTGCAACTTGTGAGTGTATGTGTGCTTACGTGCCGCACACACTTCCCCATCATCCGCCACAATTTACGTCACATTTCCTCTTACTTAAGCCGCACTCCCGTATTGAGAGCATAAAACTACACACACCATTAATTCACTTATTCGCTCAGCGAGCGTCATGCACTACTTCCCTTCTTACCACCTCACTACACTTTGAATTCTCGTTGAAATCGCACCCGCACCTACATCACACTCTGGTATGCATCGGAGTACACAGACGCCACAATATACGTAGAATTCGAGATGCCCAATGTAGGTTCTCCACAGACACAGCGCTGTGTGCTATTCTCACAGTATATAGTACACTTTGTACAGTGTAGCATGCATACAACACGTTACCGTACGTATACATAGGTTGCCGTGTTGTACAATCGACAGTATGTAGGCGCAAATGCGCACCATGCTCATTAATAACTCTCTTATAAGTATCGATTTCAAAGTAATTCAAGAGTCGATCGCAGACTTGCGCACCTGATTGTGTGTCATCTGAAAATAAAAATATACAGCTCCTTGTCACAGTAGCTCACGTGTCAACTTACAAAGTCTATGTTGATTTGAATTGTCGACGACGATTAATACCTTTTTCCTTGAAGTAGTGCATTACGCACACGCACTCTTCTCGTCTCTGGTGTCCGTACTCACTCGTTATCTCCAGAGGATATCTTATTATACCCATCGCTGTATGTGTCAGTATGTATGTTATCAGATTTGGATAGACTTGATCTTCCCTTTGTGCCTGCGCCTTGCATTCTCGCTCCCACCTTGCACCTATACACCAATCACACACATATTGTCTTATGAGGTGCGATTGTCACTGCAACCGATGTATTTATGCTTATGTTCTTACCATTGCACTGCACTCTACTACACGTACCCACCCCACACGCGCTGACCTCCTAGCTTCAGACCTACACGCGGCGACATGCTATTTGCATGCCAGGGACACCTATATCTGCCGAGTGCACGTCCTGCAATCTGCGACACCAGATCGTAGCATGTCACACTGTAGTCACGCTGCTAAGTGCCCATCGAGCGCATTATACGGAGCCGGATCACCCTGCCGAGACGTGAGACCTCGCACATCCAGACCTATGTTGAACGCCAAGACATTGTCGTGTCCACGTATTTCCTGTTTTCACACCGCTCTGTGGTGTAATACCTTCTATTGCGCACAAAGCTATCGCATCGGTTCTCCTACCCATCACCGTTGTTATTTGTGAGAGATTGACCTTGTAGAGCCTGTTTCTGTGTCTCGTGTGGACCCTTTCATAGTCAGCCTTTTCCTCCTCGCAGTTCTCACTTATGTGCAGTCGGACGCTCGTCGATGTCTTGATAACGCCGCGAGACTGCATATATTGTGACCGCTTGTGCACAAATATAGGGGTGCTGTGTCCTTGTGTCAAGTCGGATGCTTTGGATTCTTAACCAGAACATCGACCAATCTATAACGAAGGAGAATCTCTTGCCTTGTGATGCACGTTGAGAAGTATACGATACGGGTAATGGCATGAGACGTCGCAGTCAGAGAAGCGCCTTACGGCAGGCGACTAGGTAGCCACACGACAAGAGAGAGTGTTGCAACAGGTAGTGTCTGATGTGTTCATCCCTGCCCTCGTCCCCGACATGACCTTAATGCGATGCTACGCTCTGTTAGATGACACGCAGCATGATGTTTCGACAACGGACATCTATTTTGTGTCCTCATGCACTGATAGCACACACAGAACTTAAACGGGGCGCCTAGTAGAATGGAAAACACACTGGTGCTGAGTATAAGACAAATCTGATGGTGTATTGGTTAGAATAAAACTATACATTTAAGATCACCATCCGAATGAGCTGCTGATCATCCTTTCTCGCTTCTAACCTAAATAAACACTCTTTAGAAGCGCGACTGCTTTGGTGGGTCACCAGTCAGTTTTCGAAAACTAGAACGCTTGTTTTCTACTTCTAAGTAATCGATGAAACTCAACAGATCACACCTTTGGTTTTCGTGCAGACCTGCAGTATGACGTCTCTTTCCATTCATCAATATATCACCACCATCGCAGTTCAGATCTACGGTGAAGAAAAGATAAATTCGTAATTCACTTATTGCATGGATCGAAAATAAATCGTCCGAGAAAAGTGAAGCAAAAAGTATCACTAACCTGGAAGACCATCGGTGGTGGTAGTTAGACCCTGAAACAAATCAAATTATTTCAACGCCTGACGTTTCGGCGGATTTCGCCTTGTTCTCAAAGGATAGGAAAGATTGATAGCCGCCGAAACGTTAGGTATCAAAATAAATTCTGCTATGACGATCGGGTTTTTTCTTCTTATGACAAAAGTTGCTATGCATTAAACAATGCCGAAGTTGATATATAGTTGATGATGGAAAACTTCAGAATTTTCTTTTCAAGATATTATTGTA